CCCCCCAAACCACCCACAAGTCAAAAGACATTTGAAAGGAAAGTTAAGAGTTAACCACAACAGAAGCTCCCGCCAACCACCCACATTGGACGAGACTTGAAACAGCGATGCGTTCTCGACGTAACAACAAAAAACTTCTGACAGCGACAACTCACCTGTTCGTACGGAAATCCTCTGTGCTATAAACCTGCCCCCCACCACAGCCAGACCCGTGCAGGCGGCATGGCCCAGACAGCCGCCTATTATCACGCCAATCACATCCTGAAACAATAGACAATTGGGAGATTTTTAGGCCCCAGGTAACACAATTTAGGCCGGGTTTAGTTTTAGTAGTAAGAGCTTTACTGCACTTGCATCACAATACAAATCATGCAAGTGCCGAAGATTAGAGGTTTTTCAGTTTTAGTAAGAGTTTTACGGCACTTGCAACACAATAAGGTCATGGAAGTGCCGAAGATTAGAGGTGTTACAAGAGAGTAACAAACACAAAAAAGAAGGAGGGAGATAAAGACTATAGACGTTTGATAGGAAAGAAGAAGCAAACCACAAAAGAGTACCCACCAACCACCCACTTAGGCTGGGTGAGGGTCAAGAGACAAGACAAAGCCTACGATTCGTCGCCTCAGAACTATTTTGTCCCAAGTGTACTTAACCCTTCCAGCCCCATGCGCGTATATTTTCAGCAGCATTTGTACCACCCTCCATCCCAAGAGCGTATATTCTCAGTTTCAGGTGGTCCCGAATTTGAGCATTTTTCAAAATTTGCGAACATAATTTAAACTTTAACTTTCATAATATTTTGAGTTCATTTACCTTTAAACATTGTTATATGTTATTATCTAAACCTCATTACAAAGATGCGACATCACATTTTAGAATGCATGCCTCTTTTTCTGAAATACTGCTGTATTGGCTGGTACTGGAGTTAGGGAGTGCACATAAATGACTGGGGCTGGAAAGGTTAAGCAAAGAGTGAACTTTGGACAAAATAGTTCTGAGGTAATGTCTGTGCAGCGTCATCATTGTCCTGTTTTCACTCTGGCTAACTGAGGCATTTCCTTCCCCTCTTTCTCTTTTTATGTCCTCTCTTACTGCAAGGTGTCAAGAGGAGATGTAATTGTCGGATGTGGGCAAGGTGTGTTGTTTTTTGGATCGTTATATAGTGCCTTTAAACAGTCTCTTCGACTCAATCGATCCATCTTTTTCTTTGCCTTCCTTTTGCCTTGAAGCCATAAAATCGAGTGTTGTAGAACTTTGAGGCATTCCTTCCCCAACATTCCTAGCATTATTTCCTCCACCTCCGTGCATACAGGAAAACAACATCTAGACACGTATCACCAGACTCAATTCTGTCTCATCTCTCTTGCTCCTACGTGGACACGTATCATCAGACTATCAGACTAAGGTCTGTCTCACCTCTCTAAAAACTGTATAGGTTTAATGCCTCTATCAATATTATAGGATTATTTAAGAGGCGGGATCTCCCAGTTTAACGTCCATCTCCGAAAGGACCTAATGAAATGGTAATTTTGAGTAAAGTGCCTTTCCCAAGGACACACCGTCGGACCAAGGTGAGACTCAAACCCCCGAACCCGCAACCTCATGATTACGACTCACCTCTCTGGCTCCCAGAATGATGGTGGCAATCTGCGAGCGATCGCCCCACTCTGCCAGGAAGGTCATGGTCAGGGCTTGGAGGAACACCGTGGACAGAATCCCGACCAGGAAGCGTCGTCCAGGGGTGCGGATGACGCCAGACTCCAAGTCCTGGACCGGGGTGCTTTGTTTTTCCAGCTGACCAGAGACGACAGATAGTACACGGTATAAATACTTTTTATTTCTCCAGCTGAAGATGGCAGACAAACATTAATAAACCAAACAAGGAATAAATCATATTTTAGAGTCTTACAGCACTTGTAACACAATTAGGTCATATAAGTGCGGAAGATTAGAGATGTTACAAGAGAGTAACATTAACATTTTTTAAAAAATGAAGGTCGTTTACATTGACCGCTGAGAGATAGTGAAGATAGACGTTGGAAACGAAAGGAGGAGCAAACCACATCAGAGCACCCACCAACAACCCATGCCACCAACCACAAATGCTATACAAAATTAAAGCAAAATGCACAACCCTCCAAGCGCCACACTTTTATCTCATCCCCATTACCTTTGAGGTCAGCCTGAACTTTTTCATATACCTCCCTCAACATCATCCCCCTCCTCCCTACCTTTGAGTTTCACACGGACAACCTTCTTTGTCCCTCTCCTCCTCCCTCCACTCACCTCATCCTCCCTACGTTTGAGATCGGCCTGCACTTCTTCATACTCCTCTTGACCTTCATCCTCAGACATGTTCCAGCCTGACCACAGAAAGAAAAATCATTTTTCAAGTTTAGTTTTAGTAGAGGTTTTACGGCGCTCGCAACTGCATAAGGTTATATGAACGCCAAGGGGTGGATGTCAACAGAGAAGTCCTTACAGGGAATCGGGCTCACTCTATTCACCTCTCTAGCTTCAACAGCACAAAGTCTGTTTATAGTGACATATGTACGTCATTCTCAGGTTTGGAACTGACAAAAGAAGACTCCGGCATAGTGGGAGAAAACCCTCCACCAGAGATAGAGAGTTAAATGGCTCCACAAGCAAAGCAGTCAGACAAATACTCCATTTTTGGAAAGAGACTATACAGGAATCTAGACCACTAAGCAAAAACAATAGAAAAATTAGTTGAGATATAATCTTAAAGTCTGAAAATGATCTACCCAGAAATCAGTCTCCAACGCTCCCCAGAAAAATAATGACAAAACAAACTGACTAGCACAACTTCTAAGATGGACTGCATATCTCTGCCCTCATCCATGTCACATGGCTGACAGATCCATCATAGTTCAGTTTTAGTGAAATAAAGGTGATAATAATAATAATAATAATAATAATAATAATAATAATAATAATAATAATAACAATAATAATAATAAT